TTCTGGGGGGCTGAGTTTGATTCTGGGGGGGCTGAGTTTGATTCAGGGGAGGGAAGTTTGATTCGGGGGGGCTGAGTTTGATTTGGGGGGGCTGAGTTTGATTCGGGAAGAGTTTGGGGGGGGGGCTAGGATCTCTACCCTAGCAAACCTTTTGTATCGTTATCCCAATACCCCATGCATATGGGATATATTGAGCATGGTGATCAGATCATGATATGAATAAACATAACTATGCTGTCGCACGTTGGGCCTGTGGCAATGTTTATTTGCAGGGCGTGCTTTCTGTATGCCCAGTGGGACGCCGGGGATGCCTCAGCTAAAGGGTCCCTTAGGTTTCCCAACACAAAGTTCTGTAGAGGCTTAAAATAAGTTCAACAAAGTTCTTTATTGGTGCTTAAATCTTCAACAAATGAATTAAATACTGTATAACTCTGGAAAACTGGTGGCTTTCTTAATCTGCCCACAAGGGACAGGCAACTGCTTAATAAAACTGTTCCTTTTCTTTGGGAAAACCTATGAGGAGCGGCTTAAGGAGCTGGGCATGTTTAGCCTGAAGAAGAGAAGGCTGAGAGGAGATATGATAGCCATGTATAAATATGTGAGAGGAAGCCACAGGGAAGAGGGAGCAAGCTTGTTTTCTGCTTCCCTGGAGACTAGGACGCGGAACAATGGCTTCAAACTACAAGAGAGGAGATTCCATCTGAACATGAGGAAGAACTTCCTGACTGTGAGAGCCGTTCAGCAGTGGAACTCTCTGCCCCGGACTGTGGTGGAGGCTCCTTCTTTGGAAGCTTTTAAACAGAGGCTGGGTGGCCATCTGTCAGGGGTGATTTGAATGCAATATTCCTGCTTCTTGGCAGGGGGTTGGACTGGATGGCCCAAGAGGTCTCTTCCAACTCTTTGATTCTATGATTCTATGACGCCTCCTTGGGTAAATCTTCCTTTACCTTACTGGTGTGAGGCCCCCACTCCTGGCTCCAATCTGCGTTATGGATTGCCCGAGTGTCCCTTACCAGATAAGGTTTTCTGTGAATCTGTCCTTTAGATCTTCCACGAAAGTTGTGGAACCATTCCTTTTGCCCAGCAAAGGCTGGCTGTAACTTTATTCCTCAGCAAAAGCTGTGAAAAATGATGCCTTTTACAGGTGGAAGAGAAGTTCACACTCCTATCTGTAAGGCTTCCAACTGTAAACTGAGCTAAAAGTCCCCTTTTCCCTCCAAACCTGGGGAAAGAGGCGGATCTAAGGATTCTAACCATGATTGATTCTAACCTATGGTTGCAAACTGAGGGAAGCTACCTTATTGCAAAATGCAACCATGATTGATTCTAACCTATGGTTGCAAACTGAGGGAAGCTACCTTATTGCAAAATGCATGGTCCAAATAAAGCTTAAACAAACTAGCCATGCAAGAAAAAGAAATTCAAACTCTTGGAACAGCCATGCCAGCACAATAACAATTTAAATAATGTACAAGTAAGGCCTTCTCACGGACACCTTTTTTGGGGGGGTCTGAGCCTGCCGAGTCGCCTGCTGGCTGAGAGGGACGGTATATAAATATAGCAAATAAATAAATAAATAAATAATACATCACTGGACTGGTGAGACAGTGTCCTAGGATGCTTCCTAAGCCCCTTCTGATAAAGTCATTTTGCTCACACCACAAGGCAGACTTAAAGATGAGATCCAACTGAGAAAGTGGAAGAATGAACTTGCTATTCATACTCTTAGGCAGAGAGCTTCACTGCCTCCCAGCCTCAACTTCATATGTGCGGTACTGAGCAATTACAGGTGAATTGGAGCCCCCGGTGGCGCAGTGGGTTAAACCCCTGTGCCAGCAGGACTGAAGAGCGACAGGTCGCAGGTTCGAATCCGGGGAGAGGCGGATGAGCTCCCTCTATCAGCTCCAGCTCCTCATGCGGGGACATGAGAGAAGCCTCCCACAAGGATGATAAAATCATCAAATCATCCGGGTGTCCCCTGGGCAACGTCCTTGCAGACGGCCAATTCTCTCACACCAGAAGCGACTTGCAGTTTCTCAAGTCACTCCTGACACGATAAAAAAAAGGTGAATTAAGGGATATGAGGAAGTCGCCAATTCAAATCTTACCTCTGCAGCCAATGGGTTGTTGGCCTTGTGCATATTGCTGTTATCTCCTGTGTCAGCAAAATGGTTATTAAAATGGTGGCCAGCATTACAGGGCTGTGGCATTGAGAAGGAAAATAATAGATACAGGAGGCTAGCAATCTAGAAGCAAAGGGCAGCCCTGAAGGCCTTCAAAACTATAGAATGGGCTGCCCATCTTGGCCTCTGTTTAAAAATCTGATTATGTCAACACAAACATACACACATACTTCTTTTCTAACTAATGAAATATGGATTACGTACATGCTTGTGTGGCATTTCAGCTGAAATCAATCTCCGTAATTCACTAAACCCCTTTGAATTTCCTCATTAATATGGTCTGATGCTCTCCCCGGGCCAACCCAGGATTCAGCTGCATGTGAAGCTGGAGCACATGACCCACCTTCGCCTAAATATTGTGTCCAATTCTGGGCACCACAATTCAAGAGAGATATTGGCAAGCTGGAATGTGTCCAGAGGAGGGCAACTAAATTGATCAAGGGTCTGGAGAACAAGCCCTATGAGGAGCGGCTTAAGGAGCTGGGCATGTTTAGCCTGAAGAAGAGAAGGCTGAGAGGAGATATGATAGCCATGTATAAATATGTGAGAGGAAGCCACAGAGAGGAGGGAGCAAGCTTGTTTTCTGCTTCCTTGGAGACTAGGACGCGGAACAATGGCTTCAAACTACAAGAGAGGAGATTCCATCTGAACATGAGGAAGAACTTCCTGACTGTGAGAGCCGTTCAGCAGTGGAACTCTCTGCCCGGAGTGTGGTGGAGGCTCCTTCTTTGGAAGCTTTTAAACAGGGGCTGGATGGCCATCCGCCAGGGGTGATTGGAGTGCAATGTTTCTGCTTCTTGGCAGGGGGTTGGACTGGATGGCCCATGAGGTCTCTTCCAACTCTTTGATTCTATGATTCTATGATGCTACTAACTAGAACCTTCAGTCTTCTTTTTACCTTGTCCCATCTCTACACGGTTTCTGTTGCTACTGCTCAAGCTTGTGTAGCTATGGAGACATGCAGGGATGGAAAGGAGTGACAGGCAGAGCAGCTCTGCTCCTTGTTGCCACCATAAAGTTGCAAAAGCACCTCAAAATTAAGCTTCATTTGGAGGGCATCTGAACTTCCACTGGTCCATACACATCCCATGGTGTTGCTGGACTTCTGGCGGATGCCCTGCCCACATTTGGAGTGGAAGCATTGTATGGCACTTCCCTCACAGCCTGAGAAAATGTTGACCATTTCCTCTACCTTGACAGCCACCTCTCCACCAAAGTCAACATTGACACTGAAATACAACACCGCCTGAGCTCTGCGAGTGCAGCATTTTTCTGAATGAAGCAGAGAGTGTTTGAGGACCGGGACATCCATAGGGAGACCAAGGTGCTTGTTTATAAAGCTGTTGTCCTCCTAACCCTGCTATATGCCTGTGAGACGTGGACTGTCTACAGATGTTACATGCAACTCCTAGAACGATTCCATGTGTTGCCTCCGGAAAATCCTTGGCAGCCACCTCTCCAGAACAACATCGACACCAAAATACAACACCGCCTGAGCTCTGCGAGTGCAGCATTCTTCTGAATGAAGCAGAGAGTGTTTGAGGACCGGGACATCCATAGGGATACCAAGGTGCTGTTGTCTTCCTAACCCTGCTATATCCCTGCGAGACGTGGACTGTCTACAGAGGTCACATGCAACTCCTAGAACGATTCCATCAGCGCTGCCTCCGGAAAATCCTGCAATTCTCTTGGGAAGACAAGCGGACAAATGTAAGCGTACTAAAAGAAGCAAAGACCACCAGCACTGAAGCGATGGTCCTCCGCCGTCAACGTTGGGCTGGCCACATTGTCCAGATGCCCGACCACCGTCTCCCAAAGCAGTTGCTCTACTCCGAACTCAAAAACAGAAAATTGAATGTTGGTGGGCAGGAAAAGAGATTTAAATATAGGCTCAAGGCCAACCTTAAAAACTCTGAACTGGGAAGCCCTGGCCCTTGAGTGCTCCAGCTGGAGGTCAGCTGTGTCCAGCAGTGCTGCAGAATTTGAAGAGGCATGAATGGAGGGTGAAAGAGAAAAACGTGCAAGAGGAAGGCACATCAAGCCAACCCTGACCAGGACCACCTTCCACCTGGAATCCAATATCCTCACTGCGGGAGAAAATGCAGATCAAGAATAGGGCTTCGCAGTCACCTACGGACCCACTGATCTTGGAAGACAATCCTACTCGGACAACGAGGGATTGCCTAAGTAAATACACATAATACACCTTCCACGGTCTCCAGCCTTCTGTCCCTTCTTTCCACTTAATTCCTGAATTCCCGAAATGATTTCCAGTCTATTTGTGCTTTCATCACTAGGATACAACAACCCTGCCAACAAGCAAAGCCTCATTTTACTCCATCTTTTTCCACATAACCTTGTCCTTTGAAAACTGGGAATGAAAGGGCTTTTTGTGAATGAGAAATCTGTAACTTTGTGTAGAGGAATGCCCAGCTAGTCCCACCTGCCTCTCACGTTTACTTTGCAAAGGAATCTATGTTTCTTTTTGCAGCAAGGATATTCAGGTACAGATTTCTAAAAAGCAATGGGGGAAGGGGAGAGAGTTTACCCACATCACGGCACATAACTCGAGCAAAGCATTACAACACTCATAGCTATAACATCATTTTCACTGTGCTCTTTCATGCAGGAAAAAAATAGCAAGGGGTAAAATGGAAGCACATTTCAGGGGGAAAAATCTTCCCATTTTGGTTTTGTTATCAAGGGAAGGAGCAAGATTGGTCATCAAATGCAAACACAAAGAGGGCAAAATAATTAAACATGGATTATGCATCTCAGACAAATAAGCAAACACAGAAACCAAGAAAAGATACTCACTGCCTTTGACCTGTCCTCGTGCTTGGGAGCTCTTTGCCAAGTGTGTGGTCACAGAGGCTCTATGGAGAGAATAGAGCAATTGCTTAAGGGGGGCACACGCCACACACAGAGACACACACCTCTCTCTCTCCCCCTCTATTTGCCCCAAGCAGGCACTCAGCAGAAAGCTGTCATCCCCTCTCTCTTCTGCAAATTGCATCCAGTAAACACTCTAGCAAGCTAAACTGAGCAGGCTTGATGCTGGGTTAGCACTGCAGAGCCAGCTCACTCACATTTCTATTGGTGGGATTTCAGAGGCGGCCCACCTGATCGGAGCATCTGGGAGCATCTTCTTTCATCCTTCGCCTCCCCCTTGCTATCCTGGTTGCAAATCCCCTCTGTCTTCTAACAAATTGAAGTAGCCCACCACTCAAAGCAGACATTCAATGCCAGCAGGGAGAATATGCGGTGCCAAGTGCCATACGGGATTCTCTGCCCTGTAAAACTCTCCATGCGTTTGCTAATCCTAGGAGTCTGAAGAGAACACCAAACTGCACTGCTTTAAATAAGTCCTTGGTGGGTTTAGAATACGAGAATAAACCCATGGAGATTTCCATGCAGACAATCCCTCTAGCACGTTTGGGGGGGGGGGGGCTCTGCAGGGAAAGAGAATAGCATCAAAGTCAAATTGCATGTATTAACTGGCAAGGCAGGTTTCTAATTGGGTGCAATTATATGATCAACATAATCAATTTATTTTTTGGCTTGAGTGTTGCATGTGCAAGTGCGATACACCTCCCACAGCCAACCCAAGAAGTACACTCACACATGATGTGGGATGAACAATGGCCACAACTACTTTATTGATAACAGGAACAAGGGTTGGCAGCCAAGCATGGGTCCTGGATCACGATCGGACAGCCCAATACTGCCCAATCCCGCACACACCAGGATGCCGCCGGCACAATACCGGGCAAACGCAACTCGGCACCCCTGGGATCACCGGGCGTCCCCCCTAACCGCTAGGGGGGATACCAAACCAGACCCAGGGCCCATGCCCCACGCCAACAAGGAGTTGTGACGAGAAGCATAACACAAACAAGTAACTGTTAACAGGTAACCATGACAAGGTAAACATCAACAAAATTAACAGCCAATGAAAACATAAACCGCATGCAGGGTGGGTGGGATGGATCAGCTGTTACAGGCCAAGTGTCTGCTGGTGAGCCTTGGGCAGCCTTATGAAGGCTGGCCAGAAAGAGGGAGAGGCCAGCTCAGGCCTCACCAGCGGTGGGCGTGGTCAATTGGCCATTGGCCCCTTGACCTGCCGGCGGGAATCCTTCCCGCCATCAGAGGGGGCTTCTGGGAGCAAGAAGCCCCCCCCCCCTCAGGCAAGAATGGCGGTGGGGGACACCCTACACCGCAACATCTTTGGCCCGGTAAGTCGGGCCATGCTTTTTACCAGTACGCTGATGACACTCAGCTGGTGCTGAAGATGGAAGGCCGACCAGACTCTGTACCCGATTATTTCCATCAGTGCCTCGAGGCTGTTACTGGATGGCTGCATGCCAGCAGGTTGAGGGTGAATCCAGCAAAGACGGAGATCCTATGGCTGGGTCAACCGGGCAGTGGGGATATCCAGCTGCCTACCCTGGATGGCAAGACACTACGCCTGTCATCATTGGTAAAGAGTCTGGGAGTTCTTTTGGACCCTCTGCTGACGATGGAGGCCCAGGTCTCCGCCATTAGCAGAACCGCCTTTTTTCATCTGCGGCAGGCTAGACAGCTGGCCCCCTACCTGTCCAGGGACGACCTAGCTACGGTGATCCAGGCTATGGTCATCTCAAGACTGGACTACTGTAACAGCCTCTACATTGGCCTTCCTCTGTCGGTGATCCAGAAGCTCAAGTTGGTACAAAATGCAGCTGCTCGGCTTCTTGCGGGAATTCCGATGAGATTCCACATAACACCAATCTTACTACAGCTGCATTGGTTACCAATGTCAAAGTGATGGTACTTACCTTTAAGGCCTTGCATCGTCTGGGGCCGATGTACCTGAGGGACTGCCACACCCCCTACCAACCCCAGAGATCCCTCCGTTCTGAGGACCAAGATTTGTTGGAAATTCCCAGTGTCAAAACCTTACGTCTAACAGCTACCAGACGCAGAGCCTTTACAGCAGTGGCACCATCGCTCTGGAATACTCTGCCACCTGAAGTCCATGCCTTGTGGGACTTATCAGCTTTCCGCAGGGCATGTAAGACATATCTGTTTCGACAGGCCTTTGACTTTTAATATCGCTGTTTTTAAATTGTTTTAACTTGTTTTTAAATTGTGTTAGATTTTAGCCTGTTCTTGTAAGCCGCTCCGAGCCCCAGGGGAGTGGCGGCATATAAGTTCGAATAATAAATGAATAAATAAATAAAAGGAAGACAGAGGCAACTACATAAAGATACATGAATTCATCTCTGTGTCAACTCATCCAACTGACTGGGCCTTAATGTCTCTTATATGGGAGGTAACCCCCCCCCCCCCCAGGACTCTGTAAAAGATGGGTCAAAACCAAGGAATTCAAAGTTTTACCAAGGACACCAGGCTGGAATGATCCCATAATCCCCCATCTCTCCCCATCTCTCTCTTTCCATTGCCCCATGGCCCCACATGGCAATGCCCCTGTAACCCACACTTTATGGACTTTCTATGAACTTTTAGAAACCTTTAATGAATTGTTCATGGACTTTCGAACTCTTATGGACCCTATACCAAACCCTTATGAACTTTTATGATATTTCACTGATCTATACAAATCTTTGATGGACTCTGGAGGGAGGGAGGGCTTTGCAGTTTATATAATATAATATATAAACATTTCTTAGGGCTCCACAAGAAACTTTTGCTTCAAAAAGGGCTCTGCAGCTGAAAAGGTTTCATAACCCCTGGTATAGTGCATCAGATATTTTGATCTGCAGCTCCCAATGTTCTTCAATATTGGCTTTGCACACTAAGGCTGCTGGGTCCAGCAAACCCATTGGCCTCGTTCTACCTGCTGACCACTTTTCAGCATGAGAATTCTGCCCTCTTAACAGGATTTTCATGCATGAGTACCCTTGAGTAGATTCCCCCAAGAAGTCTTGAGGTCCCTGGCACAGTTATGCTTGAAAAGTATGGTAAGAATTCCAACTAAACTTGTTGTTTACTTTATCACACATTTAACTCATTTTTTTCTCATGACAATTGATCGGCGTGGGTGAATGATCAAATAATCTGATGCCATTTTCTGCACAAATTCAAAGCTTGTATTACAAGTTACTCATATCCCAAGGTGCCAATTCTTTGATGGTATGTTTCTTATTCAAAAATAAACTCCTCAGTGATAGAGTGGGAGATATATACCTTACCAGAGTCCAGCTAGTTTTGAATTCAGTTACCATGGGGGACGAGAATGAGACTACTCTAAGTAATAGGTCTAGAATAGACCTCTACAATCACTTATGAACCCATCACCAAGACTCTTCCCTTGGAAGACAATCATACTCAGCTACAAGTGATAACCTATTATATGACTCTAAGTAAAAATAGATTATATTGGAAGGTATGCATGGGAACATATTTATAAACCTATAATCCCATTGTTATAAGACACACTGAAGTAATGTTATAACTGAATAAATAACATGCTGAAGAGAAGAGGTTACTGTCCAAGGCCATTCTATAGAACAGTGTGTAGGTTGAGTGACAGAGAGATTTGTGCTTCCAGTATTGACAAGCTGTCTTACAAACTACCAGTATCAGCCTTCTTTGTGGATATAGGGGGAGGTGGAGTTGTGGAAGGGACAACTCAGATGATAGCTGCAGCAACTCTTTTGCCAGTATGAACACAGGCATTGCTGGCTGAGGGTTGATGGGACTTATAGTCCAAAAACAATTGGTCATGCTGCCAGAGGAATTATTGGAGTTGCAATCCAAAAGTGTAGACTATATTTCAGGGGAAAGGACTGGAAAATCCACTTATGAGTACTACTTACCAAAGAAAACCCTATGAAATGCATGAGGTCACTATCAACAATGACTAAAGGATATGCACAATCCAAAAGTTAATCTTCCTTTATTTTATTTGCAGTATTTATATTCCACCCTTCTCACCTCGCAGGGGACTCAGGGCAAATACATGGCAAACATTCAATGGCATAGGCCAGGGGTCCCCAAACTATGGCCTGCGGGCCACTTCTGGCCCGCCAAGGGCACTTCTCCGGCCCGTGGAGGAGGAGCGCCCCCCCCCCACACACAGTGCCCCTCCCTTGGCTGGCTCACGCTATCAGTCAGGCCCGATGGGAAGCATGAGCCAGCCAAGGGCAGCTGCTCCGCGTAGCCTACTCGCGTGTAAAGCACCTCGCGAGGTACTTTACGCGCGAGTAGGCTGCGCGGGGCTGCTCCTCCCTTGGCAGGCTCATGCTGCTCATCGGCCCCGAAGGGCAGCGTGAGCCAGCCAAGGCAGGCTGCCCCGGTGCTCCATGCAGTCATGCCGGCCACATGACCTTGGAGGTGTTTACGGACAACGCCAGCTCTTCGACTTAGAAATGCAGATGAGCACCACACCCCAGTGTCAGACACGACTGGACTTCATGTCAGAGGAAAACCTTTAACTAGGAAAATTGTGGAAGATCCAGGGTGGGAGAAAGAACTCTTGTCTGTTGGAGGTAGGTATGAATGTTTCAATTGGCCACCTTGATTACCATTTCATAGCCTGACAGTTTTTAGGGAGAATCCTTTGTTGAGAGGTGATTAGCTGGCCCTGATTGTTTCTTGTCTGGAGTTCCCCTGTGTTTGAGTGTTGTTCTTTATTTACAGTTATAATTTTAGAGTTTTTTAAATACTGGTAGCCAGATTTTGTTCAGACTAGAAATAGGAAGATTTCCCATTTTCTGCTCCTGGAATTACTGCCTAAAGAGAGCTAGAAAGAACCCCCTCTAAGGGCCCTTCCACACAGCAAAATAAGATATGTGCAATGTGCATAGGAATTTTTTAATTGATTTTTTTAAAAAAAACTATAGTCCGGCCCTCCAACGGTCTGAGGGACAGTGAACTGGCCCCCGGTTTAAAAAGTTTGAGGACCCCTGCCATAGACACACAACATAAATAGACAGACATACAGAGGCTATTTGACATTCCAGCTTCTGGCCACCAGGGGAGCTGTCACTTCACTGTCCATTTGTGACACTGATGGAGTACTTCCTCATTCTTTGCTTTCTTGCTTGCTGGAGATTTTATGGCATTATAAGCGGGTCCTAAATTTCCTACTTGACAGATGCAACTTTCTTTCGGGCTGCAAAGGTTGACAACAAGCTACACAATTTTGGTCGGAAGCTCACTCTGACCCAGGGCTTCGAACTCATGACTTTTCGGTCAGTAATGATCTTAATGCAGCTGACTCCCAGCCAGCTCCGCCACAGTCTCGGTGCTTCCTTAGCCTCATCTATAATACATGACAACAACCTAGCACAGAAATTACTAGAGCACTAATCGCTATAGTCAAGCTATGATTGTTAAAAAAAGATGCAAATGTCAAAC